ATTTAACTATGGTCAAATAATATTTTTATTGTCACTTTTCTTCATTTTCCAAAAAAGACAGTCTACCTGTCAAATACATATAGGTTTTTTTCACACAAACACAAAACAAAACACTGTTTTGTTCTCATCTGTATCTAATCCAGCACAGATCGTATGATTTATTGGTCAGCCTAGTAGTCAGGGCCGGTGCAAGGATTTTTGCCATCCTAGGCAAAAGTAAAGTTTGCCCCCCATGTGACATCACAATGCTCCACCCATATGATCTGCCATGTTAACTAACGCCAGTGCTGCAGTGCCGCCGTGTTTACATTATAAGGCATGCAGGGACAGGCTATAGACACCAGAACAACTACATTAAGCTGCAGTGGTTCTGGGGACTATAGTGTTTCTTTAATGTGAGGTAAATTAGAGATTAGTACCACGAATAATATACTAGATTGCCTACTTACAACGAGATGAGGATGATGATGGGCTCTAGCTGCAGTCTGGCTCCACTGGTCTGGTGTAAAACAGGCTCTCTGGAGGCTGTTTGTAACTGTGGTCACAAAAATCAATGTTCTGGGAGAACGGGAAGCAGCTCCATTTTTTGGGGGCCCTTTACACAGCTCAAGGTCTGGGTCCCAGGGTCCACCTTTATGTTCCACCAATGAGTTTGTTCACAGGGGGTGGAGTGTGTAGGGGATGTCCTGAAATGTGTGTAAGGAATGCATTGTGTGAATCTGTGTTTGTATGTGTAAGGGCTGCAAGGTGTGTTTCTGTGTATGTACAGGATGCAGTGTGTGCGTGTGTAAGGGGTGCATTGAGTGTGTGTTAGGAATGCATTGTGTGAATCTGTGTTTGTATGTGTAAGGGCTGCAAGGTGTGTTTCTATGTATGTACAGGATGCAGTGTGTGTAAGGGATGCATTGTGTGTAAGGGTTGCATTGTTTGTGTGTGTGTGTCTGTGTGTGTAATGCATTGTGTGTTTTTCTGTGTGCAAGGGGTGCATTGCATTTGTGTGTGATGGATGTCAATCTCTCCCCCCTCCCTTGTCACTCTCTTCTCTCCCCCCCGTGTCACTCTCTTCTCCCCTCCCCCTTCCCACTCTCATTGCCCCTCCCTCCCCTGTCACTCTCACCCCCGTCAATTTCTTCTCCCCCCCACCAATTTCTTCTTCTCCCCCTGTCAATTTCTTCTTCTCCCCCGCCCCTACCAATTTCTTCTTCTCCCCCCGCCCCTACCAATTTCTTCTTCTCCCCCCTCCCTACCAATTTCTTCTTCTCCCCCCCTCCCATTTTCTTCTCCCCTCCTCCTACCAATTTCTTTTTCCCACCCCTCCCCCATTTCTTCTCCCCCTCCCTACCAATTTCTTCTCCCCTCCCCTACCATTTCTTCTTCTCCTGCCAATTTCTTCTCCCCCTCCTCCCCATTTTCTTCTTCTCCCCCTCCCCTACCAATTTATTTTTCTCCTCCCCATTTCTTCTCCCTTCTCCCTCCCAATTTCTTTTCTCCCTCCTCCCATTTCTTCTCCTTCTCCTCCCAGTTTCTTCTTCCCCAAGTCCTCCCAATTTCTTCTCCCCCCATCCCTCCCAGTTTCTTCTCCCCATCCTCCCCATCCTCCCAGTTTCTTCTCCCCATCCTCCCCATCCCTCCCAATTTCTTCTCTCCCCCCATCCCTCCCAGTTCTCCCCCCATCCCTCCCAATTTCTTCTCTCCCCCCAATCCCTCCCAGTTTCTTCTCCCCCCATCCCTCCCAATTTCTTCTCCCCCCATCCCTCCCAATTTCTTCTCCCCCCATCCCTCCCAATTTCTTCTCCCTCCCAATCTCCCAATTTCTTCTCCCACCCTCCCAATTTCTTTCTCCTCCCCCCCACCTTTGCTGTAGCGTGGCCGAGCCCAGTATAGTCCGCGGGTACAGGGAGCTTTTGTTTCCTGTACCCGGCCGGACTAACAGGAAATGCACACTCATGATGCAGGGCTCGGCCACGCTACAGTGAGGGAGCTGACAGGAGGGAGCGCTGAGCACTGAGCGCTTCCCTCCTGTCAGCCCCTCTCCTCAAGCTGCGCCCGGGCGGTGCGGTCCGCCCTCAGGGACGCACCGTCCGGGCAAAGCTGCAGCCGCCTGAGGCTCTCTACAGAGCGCTCGGGCGGCTGCAGCTTGAGGGGGGCCGGCGCTCCTGGTGGCGCCCCTTTCCAAGGGGCGCCCTAGGCGGCTGCCTAGTCCGTCTAACAGGTAGCGCCGGCCCTGCTAGTAGTCAAAGGTTAACTCCACTCTTTAAATCTCAGTTAAGGTTTTGGTGAAATATGCAGTCTGTTAGTTTTACAAACAAATTCTGGATGTCAGGAGATCTCACACGACGACTATTTTTTTAAAATTTATTTCCAATTAGATGTGGCAGCACAGGTGTTTACTTAAAAAGTTTTTTTTTCTCTCTCTTGCTCTATTAATTCAACTGTTATCACCCAGAGACAGCATCTGCATGCTCCAGCAGATTATCAGCAGAGCATGTTATCAGCAGAAAATTCTAAATGAAACAGATTGTGCAATAAAGGAAGATTAATAATTAAACCTCTCTTTGCAGAAAATATGTAGGGTTAAAGTGAAGATTACATGCAGGGGAGGTGTGACTAGGACTTTATAAACAAAGTGAATTAAACAGCTTGTCACTCCCACA